AAGAGAGAGAGAGAGAGAGAGAGAGTGAGAGAGAGAGAGAGAGAGATAAAAATCGGTTCAAGAGTAGTAAATTGAAATTATAGGTATGATAATTACTTTTGGCAGGGAAAATTGTGCCAATCTTTTAAGGGATTTTAGTGCTCATATGACCTTATGCAGTTGCGAGCGAAGTAAACGTTTGCCAAAGAAAACAAAATAAAAAGGGAATTTTGCTTTTTTGTGCGGAAAGAGGAAGGAAGAACGGTTATTATTTGTATTTTTTCTTAACAGTTTTAGTTCTCTTTTAATTAACCAGTTTGTCTGTGCTTTATTTTTTATGTATTTTTCTAAAAAGAAAGATTGTGTTATTTATTTATCTGTGTATATCCTCTTGGATATGTTTTTTTAGATTACAGTATTTTGTGACAAGGGGTTCAGAAGTCTTGAATGGAATCAATACATATTATGGACTTTTATTAGAGTTTGTTTGAGAGTATGCGTATATTGGTGTATGTGTGTGAGGGAGAAAAAGAAAGTACCGGAGAGAGAGAGTTAGAGATAGGGAGAGAGAGTGGGAGAAAGAGAAAGAAAGAAAGAGTGAAAAAGTCAGTGAGTGAGAGAGAGCGTGAGAGCGAGAAAGAAGAGAGAGAGAGAGAGAGAGAGAGAGAGAGAGAGAGAGAGAGAGAGAGAGAAAGAAAGAAAGAGAGAGAGAGAGTGAGGGGAGGGGGGGTTGAGGCTGATAGAGAGAAAGCGTGTGACATTTATTACAATATCAATGTAACGCCCCCACGAGAACTTACAGCAAAATCCCTTTACGTTAAGAGAGACAACCGCGAGATCAATTTTGGTCGGCCGGTTGCATCCCTTTCATTTTAGCTCAACTTGAGTGCTAATTATTCCAGGTGTTTGATCCCGTGCCTTCATTTTGTCGTTCACTTAAGCTATTCTGATGAAAGCTGAGGTGTGCGAATGTGTGACAGGGGCTGACGTGTGACAAGTGCATGATCAGAATGTATCGGAGGGGGCCCGGGGAATCTGTCCCACCGATCAGTTGCATTGTTCGCTAATGAGGAGATGTAGAGCTCTCTGTACCTCACTTGCGTTCTAACCGCGTAGGCAGATTAGGCTCATTTTGCGAGCATGATGTCGAAAATACACCGCCGTGTTTGTTGTCAGTTTGAGATGTGGCAGTTTTGATATAGGAGAACGGGGATGAGGGGGGAGGAGGAGGATGGAGAGGGGGGGATAAGGAGAAGAAGGAGTAGGAGGAGGAGGAAGAAGAAGAAAAAAGAAGAAGAAGAAGAAGAAGAAGAAGAAGAAGAAGAAGAAGAAGAAGAAGAAGGAGAAGAAGAAGAAGAAAATGGAAAGGATTAGGAGGAGGATGCAAAGCGAAATGTGCCACAACGCGGTGAAAAAAGGCGCTAGTCAATTTCGGGGAATAATGAAGCTTGTCCATTTGTCTTGCTTTTGATTTTTTTAGCGGAAAAAAGCATCCATTTATATTTGTCTCAAGCTAAATGAATATTAATGTATCGCGCATGATCTTATCTTTATCTTGACTCAAACTTAAAGGCGGTAGTCTCCACTTGCACGAGAGCTGCATGACGTCACTGGAGTGGGTGATTAAGAATCTGACATACATGGACAACTTGTACACCAGGATGGAGGAGAGCGGAGAAGTCAGGGCCAGGCTCTACCTGTTCTCCCAAGCATCACCTGGGACAGGTACAGACTCCTGATGTATTCACCTAATTGTTGGATTTGTCCCTTACTTGGTATACGAAAATAATTTCTGTTGTTATGTGATTGTTGTTGTTTTTTGTTGTTGTTTGTTGTTGTTGTTGTTGATTCTGATGTTGTTGCTGTTATTGTTGTTGTTATTGGTGGTGCTGTTGTTGTTGTTGTTTTTGTTGTTGTAATTTATGGCGTTATTGTTGTTGTAGTGTGTTTGTGGCCAACGGATTTAGGGGGTGACGGAGTAATTTCTCTGTTGCGCCTATCTTCGATGTTGTCGTTTCTGTATTTTGTTGTTGTTGCGGTTGTTGTTGTTAGTGATAGTTTTACTATTGCTGAGCTGTTGATATTGTTGTTTTTGCTTTTATAATTGTTATTGTCATTGATGATGTTGTTGTTCTTGCTTCTGTCTCTGATTGTCTTAAAACGATTGTGCGGGGGCGGAGCGGTTAGTGCGATCGTCTCCGAAGCGGAAAGTCCAGGTTCGAGCCTCGGTTTTTTCGCCCCCTCCTGTCCCCCCAGCAGTAATGGGTACCTGATTTCGAATTAGGGAAGTAAAGGCGGCGTGGAAAGCAACTGGCCTCCCTACCACAATATTCAAAAGGCCCAAGAAGTTGTCTCATTAACAAGGCAGTCTCCAGTGTCCGGATCGGATGCGGGACCAACTTTACTTTTTGTTAATACAGTATACTTGTAGTATGTTATTGTTCAAATGCTCACTGCTCTACAAGAATCCTCTGTTCTTAGTCACTGCTCTACAAGAATCCTCTGTTCTTGGTCACTGTTCCAAAAGAATCCTCTGTTCTCGGTCACTGCTCGACATGAAAAATCCTCTGTTCTCGGAGCAGCAGGCTGTTGCCGCTGCTATCATGTATTTTGTGTCAGATCGTTATGGTACAGTGCACTTTCAAGAATAGTATTACTTTGCAGCTCGCTTATCGCTCATTCCACCGTTATTTTTCTTGGTGATGATGGTGCAGCAGCTGTTGTCACTACTCTTTCTAATCTACTGTTGCAGTTAGTGCTCTCTTTGTTGTTGTCGTTGTGGGTAGTTGGTGGGGGTTCTATTGTTGTCTGCTTCTTCTTTCTTACCAAACAACTGTCAAACAACTATCATCCTTATCTCTCCATCCTTTTGTTGTAACTTTATTCTCTAGTAAAAGGTATAACCTTCGACAAATATATATATAATATGTATATATAATATGTATATATAACTATATATAACTATATATATATATATATATATAGTTATATATATAGCCTAATTGTGTTGCAAGTTTTGTAAAGCTCGTACTAGAATTAACGCTTGTTGTTGTTGCTGCTGCTGTTGCAGAACAGCAACAAATAGATCCAGTGCACACCCCAACATGGGCATCTGCTTTAAAATTGTGATTACTCTCAGGCATACTAACGCAACGCAATTATCGGCACGTGAATGTCATGTATTGTCTCCACATTTTTTTATTCCTCCTTCATGGCGCCTGTGGGATATCGATTATAGTGCCGTCAAAAATTCGTTGCGCGACTGATTGTCAAATATCTCCTCAACTATGGAACATAGGTTTTCCAATTTTTGCACAATGACGTGTATCAATTTGTCTTAACAGATCAACATTTTTGTAAACATCAGCAAGCTGTATTTTAAAAAATTCCTTTATAGATATTAATGAAGAATCCAAGTGGATGGTTTCTACAGATATTTTAATGTTTACAGCTGGGACAATTTCTTTTGATAGCTAGTCCGTCATGTTTTTCCAAATTGGGACATTATTCTTATTGAATGCATATTTTGAGAGCCATTAGTGCAAAAAATGTGTTCACTATAAAAATAAGTTCTTGTTACAAGTTTTGTAAGTTAAAATTGTAATTGATGATCTGTGACGTAGGCCATATGCGAAATCAAAATGTGTGTGAGAAGCAGGAAGTGCTGTGGACAATACCATTTTACGTGTGACAGAAATTTCACTATTTTATATAAATTTAAGAAGAAAAGCTTTTTAAATCTTGCCCGAATTGTTCTGGAAAAATATGATTTAGTTAAGACAAATTGATAAAAACTGCTGTGCAAAGTATGGATGACATTAATTCACCAGTCAAAGAGATATTTGAGGATAAGTTGCGCCACGAATTTTTGACCGCACTATAGGCGCGGCGCTTTAGCACGCAGGAGATCCGAGTTTGAATCTCGAGTGGGGGAGAATGTTAAATGGGTATCTCGGTCTTTCTCCTGGAATGTTGCATCCCTCTTAGATCGGGTTGATCCTGACAGGCTCTATCGATGGGGACATGCAATCACCAATAATTTTTTAATATCAGGTCTTCCACCTTTGTAATTGATGTAAAGCTTATTATTATTATTTTTATTATTATTACTATTATTATGATCATTATTATTATTATTGTCATTGTCATTGTTATTATTATTACTGTCATTGTTATTATTATTCTTGTTGTTATTGCTTTAATTATTGTTATAGAGTAGTATCAATACTACTACTGTTACTGCCACTTATAAAATTAACACTACTACTACTACTGCCACTACTACTACTATTACCACTACTACTACTACTCCTACTATTACTTCAACTACTATTACTAATGATAATGATTGATGTTGAAATAGTATTATATCTAGCAATAACATTAATTTGTGATAATGAAGAAAATATAAATGATGAGGATAATAAGACTAATGATTTAAAAAAAAAAAAATTCTGATAATGATGAGCAGCAAGGGTTGGAACTGAAACGAAAACAGCCAATGAGAGATAACTGCTTGTCTCCCATTTGCTGCCTTCATAATAATATGGTAAAACCAAGGAGATGTTCTAAACTCCTTGGGTAAAACGTACTTCGCAGACGACCTCGTATGAACTCCACCCGGCTCTCCAGCTGACAGTGTGTCGCTAGAGGAATGGTGTTCTGTGTTCACACGTACCCGATTCCCAGGCCACAGCACAGAGCTGGAAAAACAGACAGGGTGTGCATTAGCAGCTACCCACAGAAGGCCAGGGTGGGGAACGGGGGAGAAAGGTGGGAGGGGCGGGGATGGGGTGGGGGTGGCGAATTGCTGTAGTCTCAGCAACAGGGTACACAACTCCTCCCTCCTCCTCTGGTGATGTATTGTGTCCCCAGTTCACTCTTTATTTTTTGTTGGGTGGAATTGGTACATTAACAGTTATACGGCTCGCGCAGCAGCATAAATTCATATGAGCGTTTCAAAGAGGCAACCGTGAGTATATTCCAGTTGTTTGAATTACACACATCTCTCTCTCTCTC